CGGGGACGCAGCGTGGCTGCAGTGGGGTTCGCTCCCCCTGCCCGGAGGACCCCGACGCGCGCGAGCCGGTGACGGGCAGTGCGAGGGCGGCTCCGGGTCCTTCAGAACCAGACCTCGCCCTCCGGAGCGAACCCCCGCGCGAGAAGCGGAAGTTCTGAGAACGCGGTGATTGTGCTCTCGCCCCCCCATGCCCTTCTGAAATTCTGCGAAGTAACTGCTTCGGCTCCGTCTGGTTTGCGGTAGCTGACGCCGCTTCGGGAGCACCGCTCTGATTGTGTCTCCACGCGTGTAGGAGCTGCTGAGTCTGGTACTTGTATAGAACGTCGTGGGTCGTGTCCTTGGTTATAAACTGATTCAAAAATGGCTTTGTAGAATTTGGAGTCCCTCCGGGGAAAGACGAGGTGAATAGGCAGAGCGCGGGCGAAGTTCAAGGCAGCAGCACTATTTTGTGTGATCCTGTAGTGATGGGATGGATCACCGTACGCTTGTCAGAACCCATAGAATGTGCAGAACCAGGAACACCGTGACGTAAACTATGGACGTTGGAGACAATGATATGTCGATGTGTTCATCAGCTGCAATAAATTCCCTGACTGGTGTGGAATTTGGATAGCAGGTGAGGCTGTGTGAGGGAAACACCCAAAAGTGTTTTACAAACTCCGAGACAAAGAATAATTCCGAGAGGAAAAATCCAAATTCTGTGTGTTGTTAAGAGAAAAGTTAAGATACTATAAAGTTTCCTAAAGTTTCAAAATGTAGGTTATGATAAGTGAGTAATGCCTTTGACATCACGGTATAATTCCCCTCTTCCATCTCCCTCTTACTTTAAAAGGATATCTTTCAACCAAGAATCCTAACCTTCTCTGTGATCTTCTTCTGACTCCACCCCAAGAAAAAAGAGCTCATGAGTTTAAAGATAGGTAATACCATGGCATTAAAAAACTCCTTGTCTGGCCGGAGGTACAGCTCAGAGGCACTGGCACCTGCCTGGCAAGTGCAAGGTCCTGCGTTTGATTCCCTGCTACAGAAAAAAAAAAGGAAACAAAAAAACTCCTTGTTGTTGGTGATGATTCTTAGAACAAAGTCCTCAGCCAGTAAACTGGAGACAAGGATGTGCTTTGGGCCGGGCATGTACGCTCAGCAGCACAAGCGCCTGCCTGACAAGTTCAAGGTCCTGAGTTGAGGGCGGGGGAGATAGCTCAGTGGCATAGGTGCCTGCC